TCCAGAAGTGAAAAAAGAATTAGATAGATTACATGATCAGTACGTACTGGTCCCTGCTGACAAAGCAGGTAACAACATTGTCTTTGTTTGTAAGGCTCATTATATTAAATGTATTATAGAGGAACTTGGATTTAATTCTACAAGTGGTAATCCAACTTATACTCATAGTTCCCTTTCTAAGGAAGAAATTCTTCAAAATCATATGTCAGTTTTGAATATTTTTAATATTCCTAACAACCAAAAATGAATTCGAATTACCATATTTATATTGGATTCCGAAACTTCATAAAAATCCTTACAAACAAAGATACATAGCGGGTTCCAGTAAATGTTCAACCAAGCCTCTATCTTTACTCCTCACTAAGATATTAACAGTGGTGAAGGAGAAACTTCAAGAGTACTGTGCAACAATATATTCGAGAAGTGGTGTAAATCAGATGTGGATACTTAAAAATTCCAAGGAACTTTTGGAAAATTTGAAATCACAAGATTTTACCAAAATCAACAGCTTAAAAACTTACGACTTTTCAACTTTATACACAACCATTCCGCACGATAAATTAAAGTCCAGGATTTTTGATATCATTGACAGCTGCTTTTTCAATAAAAATGGAACTCGTAAATATACTTACCTTGTCATTGGTCATTTGCAAAATTATTTTGTTAAAAAACATTCTGATTGTACACACAAGTACTCTGAAGTTGACATTAAAAAGATGCTTGAGTTTTTGATTGACAATATCTATGTGGTTTTTGGAGACCAGGACTTCCAACAATCTATTGGAATTCCTATGGGTACCAATTGCGCCCCGTTATTAGCAGACCTTTTTTGTATTCATATGAAGCAGAATTTGTCCAAAATCTTGTACGTGAAAAGAAGAAAACACTTGCTGTGGCGTTCAACTCGACATTTAGATATATCGACGAAGTATTGTCAATTAACAATGGCTATTTTCATTCTTATGTCGATACGATATATCCTGGTGAACTTGAGATAAAAGATACCACAGAGTCTGACACATCTGTTTCATATTTGGATATTTTACTTGAAAAAGACGTTAATGGTAATCTAACAACCAAGCTTTATGATGAACGTGATGACTTTAACTTTTCAATCGTCAACTTCCCTTACTTATGCAGCAATATACCTTCATCACCTGCATACGGGGTATATATCTCTCAGTTGATTCGATACGCAAGAGCATGCTCTACGTATGTACAATTTCTAAAACGAGATAAATTATTGACAAATAAGTTGATGAAACAAGAATATCAGCTGTCTCGTTTAAAGTCATCATTTCGTAAGTTCTATGGTCGATACAATGACCTTGTCAGCAAATACAATTTATCATTGAGTCAAATGCTGACTGACGTTTTTCATACTAATTGTTAGGTCATTATTTACCCACTGAATTGTCGACGGATTTTTCCGTTATTTCTCGATCATGACAAGGAGCACACGGCGGGTGTGACCGGTCGGCAGGGGATGCTCACTCCTCCATGGCACCTGATCCCACCTATGATGTTTGGAGGTCCGTGTTTGCTCTGCTCCTATTTTGTATTGTCTAATGGACTTTGAGCTTGAATACTGTTCGTTATCTCCGTATATTTCATGTAGGATGTTCGTTCCGGAGTCGTGAAGTAAGTAGCAGGCCCCAAGATCATGAAACTTCTTAAGTTTAATTCAAAATCTATATACTATGCTGAAATGATGTAGACGTCAACAGTCCAAAATTAAATTACTATCAATTTCCAGCTGAACAGCTTCTATCTACAATTTTAGAATTAAAGTTGAGAATTGATAAATATCTTACAGATGAATACAACTTGAACTTAAGTCTAAGTCTTTATTTTATAATCCTGGGGCCGGATTCCTAGGATTCGCAAATTTAAATCCCCGTGGTGATCCTTTCCTTTGATGAGACAGTTTAAATTTAAGTTCCATGTCGCATGCGCATTTAATGTTGGCGCGAAAATGACTTCCCATTGACCGTTAACACTTCTTTTGAAGAATACATGTATGTTTCAACGATCAAACTTTGTTCTTGAGAATAAGATTATTGAGGATTTTCTTCTATTAATTTCCATGTACAAAATTTTCTTCATTTATTGTATTCCCACCCTTTAAAAAATGTACACCAATTAAATGATAAAAAGAACAAACATATCTGATCTTTTTTTCCCTCAAGAAAACAGGCTAGAGCTAAAATTAGCTGATGTATGATAATGCAGTGCAGAATCAATATTCTGATTTTTGCTTCTTCTATACTGTATTTTTCTAACATTCAATATCACTATATCTTTTTAAATTCAAAAAATTGCCCAAGACGAAACAAGAAAATAAATTGTAAAATTACTTTGTAAGACGTTTTTGATTAAATATGTGGTACGGATTTCACAAAATTGCTCATTTATCAAATCAGTTCACTGATTTTAACATATTTCGTTTTCAAAACGGGTTTTTTAATTATAAACTCATCATACACTTTCCGCAACCGAGCTAATTCAGATTTCCATGTAAATTTCTTCTGGTCTTGTCTTTCGTAAAACTAAAGAAGAATTCCTATCTTAACTGTGAGACATACTTGTGAGAGTAGTTTGTTATGAAGCTGAACTTGACTTTTGACATTCTCAATACCAAATATAATTACTCATTTAAAAAATTGATAATGATAAACCAATTATAAAAACATTCTTTCATTCTCTTAAGCTTCTTAACTTTAACGTCAAGCTTCTCTCCTTATCTACATTAAAACGCGGTTATAATTAAGGAAATTCAATTGGACTTCGAGTTTTTCTTCCCAATAATCGAGATGATTTTTAAATCTGTTTAAGGAAAACGAACACATTGGAAAGTTACCTATAGCTAGGAGATTCATAAAAAAGTTCTAACCGAGATTTTTTTTTTCTAAATCCGACTTCTTTATATAACTGATTTTACTGTAATGCCTCGAATATACATTGCATGCAAAAATCCCCCCAAAGGTTTTGAATCTTTTTCAATTGAAGTCTACACAAATGTTTTCAAAATCTCGTTAAACATGTACACAGTATTATTTTTCTTAGCTTGCATTATTGTAATTATTATTATATGTATGAAATGAAACAGCTCCATAGACGCAGAACATCGTCGCGGTTCAATAATCAGTATCTGCGATTATTTTGTAATGAATAGTTTTTTAAATAGATTTCAAGTACAATCATTAAGATGTTTAAATTTCACCAGTTCACCGAACAGTCTCACGTAATTCACGCAAGTTATTCCTCGTCTTACCATGTATTAAATGTTCATGAAATTTTGATTCCAAATGTTTTTATTTACATATTTTGTGTATTATATTGAAATACCTCTCGAAATTAAAAATAATTTTTGAGAACGGCATTTATGTCTTAGATACAATAATCAAAAACTTACATAGTCAAATAAATATATAATTTAAGATTATATAACTGAAAGGAAATAAAGAAAGTACATGTAGTTGACAGAATAGCAATCACTTAAAGGTAAGTAGTGAGTGCGTTATATGAGATGAAATAAACTTTTGTGAGCCCACATAGCAACATATGTTATAAAGACATTTTCCTTGATATCTTTTAGGTAGCCAAATTTATACATTAATTTTCTTTTCATCTGGTTGTTTTGATTAATTTTGAGGGTTAAAGACAGAATATTCAGTTTTAAACATTCTATAACATAGCACATGTACAATAGTTAATAATCATGATTTCTATTCTATCGAGTTGGATTGATTCTGCCTCTTTTTTAAATTCTTTTGCAGATTCTTATTCAATTCAAATGTGTCCCACACATATATGATTACCATCTTCAAAATATGAGAGCTTCCGCTTAGTACAGTTATTAAGTGAAAATGAAAATACTTCTATTTAAAATTGCCAGACACTTCACATTGAACATTGTTTTGGTTTTTTTTTTTTTAAATTCAGTGATTAAGCTTGTAAATAGTACACTTCTTTCTATTAGAAATAAAAAGTTCTTCATATGTTTGCTTGAAAGACATAAAAATGGCCCCAGGATAGTCTGAGAGAAGACATCGACAATTACTTCCATCGTGCAAAATCTGGAAGAGTACGCCATTTTCCATATGTGCCTGTGCTGGCTTTCCACAGCGTACACAAGGCTTAGTAACATAGCCTTGACAATGACCATGAAGAGCACCCCTTTCCGATAAAGAATATGTATCAAAATTCAACTCATTATAAACTAACCAACAATTGGGGTTTGGGCCATATAAACATTCACATCTGACATAAAAGTTTTGGCAGCTCGAATGCTTTATCAATGCGTAAATGTTATTTAGGGGATCGAATGACAAACATCGCGGGGTCTTCATGTCTTTGTGTTGATAGCGAAATATTTCTTCCCCAGTGAAGGAAAAACAAACCACTTCTTCCTTTTCACTAATTAATGCAAATCGGTCTCCTGTTTTCGACAAGGCCAATATAGGACCAGTTGCTGGACTTTTAAAGGCAAAAGTGTGAGTAACTGTTAAAACAGGTGAGAGGTTAAAGATAGTCACCTGAGTTTTTGATGCTGTAATTATTATGTTCTGTTCTTCATCTACGCGGAAAACATCAAAGATGTATTTTAAATCGAGTTCTCCAATACAAGAAGTACTGATAGTATTTGTTTTCTTGGTTATCTTCAATTTCCGAATTTTGCTCAGACAGCTGATATACAGAGTATCACTGGTTGGTCCAGCACCAAAGAAGGATTGTTCTGTTATTTCCAAAGAAGGATTACAAGGAATTGTTGTCAAATCGATAGGATTAAAGAATAGCACGGTGTTTGAAGACAAAGCCATAACAAGTGTTTCGTTATTTAAGAAAACACCAAAGCGCGCAGGCGAAGTTAAATTAAACTCCGATTTTTTCTCAGCTGTCAAGGACAAGATGTTTAGAGAAGTATCAAACAATTTTGAAGACTCTTCCTTTTGTACAATCTTTAATACATTAATTGAGGACAAATGCCTCGACAAATTTTAAAGAGTTCCTGATGGTCTTGTAAGCAGCAAGACATCATCTATTTTATTACGTTCGCAAATTTGTTTTAGTATTGTTGTGTGATCATGTTCATAATCGTACACTTCGTCTTCTGCATTTCTGGTTTTATAATGCTTTAACTGTTCTTCAGCATCTCTTGCTGTTTTCACTGCAGAAAGAAATACTTGCTTACTGGAGCCTGACTCCTGAGCTGCAGAAAGAAGGGTCATGCCATTCTTGACCGTCAGGAGGTATTGCTTCAAATCTAATACACATTGTTTAAGTTTTTCCTCAATATCTTCATGCTTTTTTAGAAGGTCCTTTTCAAATTGTTGCTGCAGTTTATCAAGTTTCAATTTAATATTTGAAATTTCTAGGGATACATTATTCATGATTTCTTCACGTTTGGCGCTTTTGCACACTATTTCCTTTTCTCTGAGTTCTATGCTTTCCTCTATAATCTTTGATATTTTAGAAAGAACATCTATATTCCCTTTGATAGCTAATTTCGATATATTTTTAGAAACATCATCCAAGGCTTCCACGTGTTCACAGTGTCTATGTTGTGTTGCAAAGCAAACACTACAACAGAGGGCTTCATGATCTAAGCAAAAGACTTCAACATATCTACCTTGATGTAAATGACAGGGTTCATCTAGTTCTGGAAATTTTGGCTTGTCATCCTTGTCATCAAAATGCAAAGCTGAGATTTTGTGTTTTTGCAGACTACCGACAATTTGATGAAGACGTTTACAGGAAGTACATATAGCCTCTGCACAATCATTGCACCAGGACTCCGCCTTACATTTTTTGTTATCCCGTAAACAAATGGCACAGCATTTATCCTCATTCTTTTCATCACCTAAATTCGTCAATGAATTCACTAGTATGTTGGTGGGAAAATGCTTTGCCCATTGATCCACGGCAATCGCTTCGTCTGGTTGACCTGTGACACGACGGCATACAGGACACTCAAAGTCAAACTTTTCTGGATCTTTCCCCAAAGAAGCCCTAGATATATACGTCTGCAGACATTTTTCACAAAAGGTATGTAAACAAGGTAAGCTTTTTGGTCTAATTATCTTTTCCAAACAAATTGGACAACTGTAGAACATAAGATTCTCTTTCCCTACATATGTCGCCATCATTTTTAAAGGGCGTTTACCAACGCAATGCATTATGGTAGTTTCGTTTTGGGTTGAAATATGATAGGGCATATCATTTAATTTAAAAGTATTAAGAGTTATAAAATCTTTAATATTTATCTTATTTTTGGCAAATGCTAGAAACAAAGTAGCCTCTTATAATAGTATATAACTTGTTGCAACGCTACAACATCAGGCAACCCTCAAAAGTTCCTATTTTGTATATTCATTGAATACCCCTTTGATGATCCAGAAATGTGAAAGGGGGCGCGTCGAGACTATTTCTAAAAAACAAAAGTTTTCCACGTCGACCTCTGACAAAAAATAAGCAGTATTTCACGAACCTTTGATCCTCTCTTGTCGTATCATTTTCCGCCGACAGATGAATACTTTCCTAACAATGTTATTTTTTTAATTTCTGCCTGCCTCCACCACAAAAAGGAAATTGATGTATGGTGTGACAGGTACTTGTATATTAAATATTTTTACACCATCCCCCCCCCCAAGGCCTGTAGAAACCGGGGTGGGGTGGAGGGGGGAGAATGCCATACCCCCATAATTTCTGTGATATATAGTATACTATAGAAATCAAAGCCACTTATTGATGTGCCCCTCAATATTAAAGTGTAATTATTGTTTTGCTTGTCAAGGAGTTTTTGTTTGGTAGTGCCCCTTAAAAGGAAAATTTTAGCTTCCCCCCTCCCCCCAAATGAAATATCTTCCTACAGGCCTGCATCCTCAAAACCTACACTATTGTAGCATTGCTGTGAGATAATATTTGGGCAAGCCTGAATTTATTTTACTCAAAGTAGTCGCTTTTATCTGAAAAGAATGGCCTTGACGTTTAGGGTCTCCTTTGCATAATTTCTCTGTGGAATAAATGCTTGTTTGAAATATTATATTTGAAATACCCGAGATGAAACCTACTAGATGTTTTTTTGGAATTTACATTGATTATTTTGGAATTAAATATGCTCTAGTATTTTTCAAAAAAAGTGATGTAACTACAAAGCAGAATTCTCATTTATAAATCTTTGAATTATATATATATATATATATATATATATATATATATATATATATATATATATATATATATATGCAGTTATTCATCAAAAAGTTATATTTTCTGATCTCGCATATCGGATCATGATTTTTTTTAACTGAATTTAATGTTAAACCGCTTTTAATATTTTAACTTAGATAGTATTATTTCAAAGATCTTTTATGGTTAGTTCTCACGCACCCTATTACTGCAAATTCATGATAATGGTTAGTTGATATATCAAATTGTACATTTTAATTGAGGTCCTTTAAGAAGATTGCTGTCGGTTATGATCGAATAAACAATTTTATCAACCCTTGCTGCAATTTCACTCAACCTTTGTTGTATTTCGTTGTCTTTGATTGTTTTTTGATAAAATAGTTTTAGTAGATATATCTATAAATTATTCCTATTTATAAAAAAACATGCATGTTTATCAGTTTCAAAGTGACAAATGTGTAAACGTAAGTACTTTATCGAAATTACAACAACATGAGAGAACACATGGGTTAGAAGATATCGTAAGACATGCAAATGTATGGAACGCCGGGACTGTCTTATATGAGGATTAAACATTATATGCAGTGTTCTCTTCATTATATGTGGTACTATTTTAATTATATGAAGTATTTTTACAGTTTATCGTGTGCAACTTCCATTATATACAATACTTCTTTCATTATATGATGTAGATGTGTCATTATATTATGTACATCTATCATTATATGAGGTGTTTTTATCATTATATGAAGTGCTTTTAACATTATATGCGGTAGATCTAACATTATATGCAGTGAACACAACAATATATTATGTACTTCTCACATTTTATACAGTATATTCATCATTATATGTAGTATTTCTGTTATTATGATGATGCTGATCATTAAATACTATGTCTGGTCCTGTTAGCATTCCGTGCGGTAGATTTTCATTTCGTTATGATGTAGACACAGTATTGTATGCGGTGCTTTCTTCTTTATGTGTATAATCTTTCGGAAGCTACCTTTCGGAACTCTCTGTTAAAAATTCAGTACTTGAGAACTCCGACCTTTCCTTTTGAATTCAGTACAATAAAAGCATGCGTATATAACAATTAATGCTCCGTGAACAGGTTAAAATGTTTTTTGAAAGATATGAAGTAGGGTAATAGAGTAAAATAAAATCCATTCTATTTCATGGTATGAAGTAAAGAGAGAGAGAAGGGGGGGGGGGGTTGTTGATAGAAATATTTTCGGAGTGGAAAAAATTTGAGGCACTTTCTATCTTTTTTGTGAACATTATGACTTTCAAAAAGATTCATATCATATATAGGACAATCAATGTCAAAAAAGATAATAAAAAACAGGGGCGTCGGCAAGAATTTGACATTGGGGAGGCGAACTGGATCGAAAAGGGGGGAGGGGTCCGAACCAATTAAAATAAGACTTTAGCCAAAATCTTGATATTTTTATTTTCTGATTAATAAAGAACAATTAAACATGCAACCAAAATACAATGTTTTATGTGATTTAAGTTATATTTACTATAGATTAAAAAAACCGGAATATTTTTAATTAGCAAGGAGCTGGTGTTTTTTTTTTGTTTTTTTTTTCTTTTTTTTTTTTTCGAAACGGCATAGAAAGAACTTTGAAGGGTTTATGAGGTAAAGATTAAAATACATATAATTTTCTATTATTGTATAATATTTTTTGTTACTCGCCGAAAGAATGCATTTAAAATGAACAGGGTGATTAATCCTTCATAATCCCCCCATTTTTGAAATGCAGAAATGTGCATGACATTAAAAGAAATCATCTGAAGTTGTTTTAAATAGTATTTGTTACCCAGTATTTTAGTATATTGCTTTAATTTTAATAGCTTACAACTTCGATTCATCAAAGATTTCCAAACATCGATAGACCAATTCATTAGACAATGAACAGGCCTGTTATCGGGGGGAAGGTGTCAGGAAGGGGTGCTCTAATTTTTGACCTATTTCTCCACTTTTTCTGAGAATAGTTTTTTTTTTTTTTTTTTTTTTTTTTTTTTTTTTTTTTTTTTTTGCTTAAGTTTCGATATGTAAAAATTCATTAACTTAGACGCTGCTGCCCCCCCCCCCTTTCATCTTTCATACACACTTTCTGTTGCTGTCAGGTCGAAACCGGGTAAATTCCAAAAGAATTGAAAAGAAAAAAATTCTGGCAACTTAGAGAGTCCCCCCCCCCAAAAAAAAATAGAATTTCCAAAAACGTTGCTAGCTGTGGGCCTGATGAAGAATTTGTAGCAAACTTGCACGTAGAGCGATGGATACCATGCTTATTGTTTACAAACGCCAGGTACAGGTATATAATTATACACGTACATGTACATCCCAATTTGCGTCTGTGTAAACAATAGCTTTCACACTTCGCCGCTCCATTGACCACAGATATTGCCATTACAAATGTTGTAATTTTGTTTTTCTCATTTATCTTTTCATTTTTCATTTCTGTGTGTGTGTGTGTGTGTGTGTGTGTGTGTGTGTGTGTGTGTTTTCAAAATTATCGGGGCGGCGATCGCCGCCCCTTTGCCGACGCCCCTGAAAAAAACTAACTGCATTCGTACGCCTTCGAGTACGCAGGGCTTTAACAACGGCTTATAGAAAACACTACATGTATTTACTTATTTGTTTGTTTTTTAGGGGTGGGATGTGCTAATTTTTCACAATGTAAATTACCCTTTTATCTCTCATTTTATTTGGTAGAGGGGGCTCTACATATATATATATATATATATATATATATATATATATATATATATATATATATATATATATATATATATATATATATATATATATATATATATATATACGGTATTACTGGGTAATTTTACCACATATCATTTTAGAAGTAAAATCTTGAAGTACAACCCACGACTCAATACATTTTCTGTTCTGAAAATCGTTTATCTTTTCCTGATACATTACATAACATTCACACAGTATTTAACTAAAGGCAATTTCAGCATTTTTTTTATACGCCATAGTTTAACAGTTAATACTATGGGACAATAAAATTATTTCAGTTATAAGTGTATCTCTCTCTCTCTCTCTCTCTCTCGTTGTAAACTACAGAAGTATTGATATGTCTTTGAAATTCCTTTAATATAGGGATAAATATTGTGTGGTATGTGATTATTCCGCGATGCTTTGGCTGACGTGTGGTTGATTACCAATTATTAAAGATAACCCAAAATCATTACGAATTTTTATATCTAGGAACGAAAAAAGGTAGAACTTTCTAAATCTAACAAAGGGGGTTCCGAAAGGTAACTCCCGAAAGATCATACACATAAAGAAGAAAGCACCGCATATAATATTGTGTCTACATCATAACGAAATGCAAAATCTACCGCACGGAATGCTAACAGGACCGGACATAGTATTTAATGATCAGCATCATCATAATAACAGAAATACTACATATCATGATGAATATACTGATATAATGTGAGAAGTACATAATATATTGTTGTGTTCACTGCATATAATGTTAGATCTACCGCATATAATGTTAAAAGCACTTCATATAATGATAAAAACACCTCATATAATGATAGATGTACATAATATAATGACACATCTGCATCATATAATGAAAGAAGTACTGTATATAATGGAAGTTGCACACGATATACTGTAAAAACTACTTCATATAATTAAAATAGTACCACATATAATGAAGAGAACACTGCATATAATGTCTAATCCTCATATAAGACAGTCCCGGCGTTCCATACAAATGAAGCGTTTTCGGAAGGATCAGCTAACTACGTGTTTGTTAGGTACGATCAATCTTCCTTGATTTCTAGATGATGAATTTCGAAATAACAATCACTCAAAAAAATAGTCTTATTCACAAAACCCAAGAAACATAAAAATAATCAACTCAAAATTCCTATGGAGAGAGGGGATTCATCAAATATCACATAAATGAATATCATATATATCAAATATATCAAGTAAATGAAGTTTAAATTTCTATTCTGCATTTTTTTCACTTTGAGTGATTGTTACACTCCAAAAAAATATCCTTTACTTTTTATGTCTTTTAGATGGGGACAAAAATGTGTATTGTATCGCAGAAGAGAAGACCATAAAGGAAAATAAAGAGAAAATTGGAGAAAATATTTTTGGAGACAAACGACAACAGCAATCACGTCTCTGACTTCTTAAAGACGAGAGAAAAGAAAATCAGGATTTACTCTGAAAGAAAAAAAATGTTAAAAAGGTTTAAATTCTACCTTACCTTGCAATTGTGTTTCACTAAGACATGAGGGGATCAAATACATAGAGGAGTTTTAATCTCATCGTCATGGACACTGATAGATTGTGCTAAAATATGATATCAAGCTGTTTCTGATGAAGAGTATTAAACTTGTCAACTCATTCATGAAATATTAAATGTCCTGGGACTCAACATTCTCATTGTTTTATATATGCACCACCCACTAAGAGGTTCCAATCACTTACCCTTACCAGCGAAACTGGCCAATAAAAAAACTGATAATATTTAAAATACTTATAAAGATGCTTCATGTAATCAGTGCATGTTAAAACTTTTCTCTCTCCAGTTACAAATAATCCACTACGAATGCTCACTCTTTACATGACCTCTACTTTACAAGCATCTACCTTCTCACTCAGAACGGGAGATATCCCTTTTGAAAAGAAAAGGAACATTTCTATCAATCTGTTTGGTTACAGGAAAAGGGAACTCTACCCCCTTTATGTATTTTGATTTTTGATAGTACTAGTATTCTTCCATTTCACATATCCTATAAGAAACACAGAAAATCGTATTTAAGTAGATATCTATACTACTATATTAAAATAATAGACTCGAATTTTTGGCCTTTAATACCGATAAATCGGAAGAGTACTGTCTATTGTTTTATATATTTTAAACATCATTGGTACTTGAAGATTACCAATTTGTTTTTATTCTTTCTCAATTAAGCTTCGCTAATTAATAATCAACGAAAACTCCTCAAAAAATTCCGGAAATCATCTGGATTTTTTGGATTTTACAATCTTGCGCGTGCGCATTACATTCACGCTAAATCACGGTGTTCAAATCTGAGAAGACAAAAGTACTAAGTAGATATATATTTGTCATTTTATAATTTCTCTAATAAGAAATCATAAATATATATGAACAGAATATATAGCAAATTTCCAATGAAAATTTACACGTATTTGTATTATCGTTTTTGAGTTTATCAATGCAAATGTGATATTGTGGCCACGTGGGTAATCATTCGCCATCTCGGAGACACATTTATAATGTTATTTACGTCTCTGGTCATCTCAACGGAGGCAAAAACCTCATGATCGTAGGAGCAATATTAATGTAACTACCCGATTTTATTTTATCCTTCCTTTCTTTTATGCTTTTTTGAGGGGAAAGGGGGGGTGTGTTACAACTCCAGCTAGAATCACATTTTAGTGAAGTAGGCATTCTTTTTCCGCCAAAAAATACAATTACATTATTTTCATTTCTTAACTTTGAAATAAATCGAAATAATCAAATAACGTCAATATAACCGATATTTTCAATTTGAAATGTGTCTAAATGATTGCAACTTGAATTTGTTCGCCATGTTTACTATTACCTTCACTGCTGAGATTTATAACGCGGTAAATATGAAACATAAACTAAGGGCACAGAAATATTTGATTCCATGCAAAAAAATTCACATATTTCTTACAAGAGTGTAGTGAAATTAATAGCATTATTGTAGGCTTATATAGCTTTGTTATGTAAATACATGACCTCTGACCCTGACGTTATATAGAAGGGACAGCCTGTTCTTCTAAATATGTAAAGGTTGTCGTGGTAACTACGCTTAATAGGTAGTCTGAAGTCAGCCCTTGCGGCCCGTACAGTTTATTCTATCAATGCTGCTGAAATATCGATCATTTGCATAGGCGTCGGAAGCAAATTGAAAGTGGGGTGGCTAAATGAAAGTGGAGGGGCTAAACCAACGAAAAAAGGTAAGCCCCAATTTTCAATACCTATACTATGTCTTTCTTTGCAAAAAAAGTGTGTGGGTGGGGGGGGGGGGGCTAAGCCCCCCTAGCACGTTCCACGGTTCCGACGCCTATGATTTGTAAAATATAATCCATGCATAGTAAATCTCAAAACTATGAGGTGGGACAACATTAAGATCATAAAGAATATTTATTCATTGATGAAATGAATTATATTTAATTGTAGCAAACAAACTAAACGTTTAATTAAATCGCCAAAAGAAAAAAATACACCAGCGTGAAAACAAGTTGTCTTCTTCAGAAGCCATGACAGTTCCCATGTGATGTAATGACTTTTGATTGAAAACGTTTAATACTGCAGTAGATTAACTTTTGTTATCACTAAACAGATATATAAATGTTTATGAGGTATGTATTTTATTTTTGCTGCATTATTTACGTATGAAGTAAGAAAAATTCCCCTATTCAGTTCAAGATCCGCTCCCAAATTCTCATTGGCTGTCCCAAAATAAAATCGTTCAAGGTCAGTAAACTTTAAAGTTTGGTAAACTCAGACTTTACTAAATATTTTGAAAAAAAATATATGCTTTGAATAATTACATCAAAAACATTTATTTTAAAATGTTTCTGATTACATTGTAATAATTTAATTTTGTTTGTATTCTAGCCTCTGATTGGTTAATATCCAAAAAGGAACACAAATTATTTCTGTATAACCTGGTTTGGTATGGGGACACACCCCCTGACAACCAGCTGAATCATCTGTATCCATACAATCCTCTCATTTCCAGTCCTCGGAATTCATGGAAAATTCCAGATTTAATAAATGTACCTTTAACTTCAAACAATAATTCGATCTTACCACATGTAAACAAACAACAAGGCTGCTAGGCCTATGTATCAGTTTTTACCTCCCCTCGCTTCTCTTCACTTCCGTTACTTCCGTTACTACGGTTGTATTATTGAGCGGCAAATTTGAACTAATAAAAAGCAACGAAATTTTACACCCATAGTTATTTAATGATTTTAAAATTAAATTATAAGGAATGACTCTAATTCTTGGCCAAATTATTCGAGTATAACCTGGTTTGGGTCAGTTTACGCTGTTTTATAATCCGCTTCGCGGATTATAAAGCGTAAACTGACCCAAACCAGGTTATACTCAAATAATTTGGCCAAGAATTAGAGTCATTCCTAAATGATTTCAATTAAAAAATGGAAATGATATAGAGTTGTAACCCCCCACCCCCACCCCCACCCCCCATGAAAAGGCTTCATTATTGCAGCAAGAAGTACTTTCAAGTTCATACTTTCCTACATAGGATACCCTTGGTAAATGTCCGATATGCACATGGATGCATTCATAACAATGTCAACCCGTGCACGCACGGGTCAAAGTCTAGTTGTAATAAATAGATCATAGTAAGGTAAAGGATCGCAAGATCTTTGATCTTATATAAGTACAATGTATTTAAAGTGCAATATGATCTTCTTCAAGATGTCAGGGTATATTTTACGATTTATACCTCTCTATTACCTGGTCACTTTAAGCATTCATAAATATATCTATACCTGTAATCTTCAGTGCTTAGATATAAGTATTTTTAATCAACTCTTTTGCCTCTCTTTTAATGCAACTTTTTCATCGCCTCACTGAAGGCGTGTCGGACAGAAAGTATTATAAAACGTAAATATAAATTAAGGATGGCCCACTGTCGGAAGTTTGTGTGCGGTATGTAAACTACCACCGACTGCAAAAAATTAAACAACCTGTAAAATGTTCAATGAAGAACGTTTAACAACATTTGAAAACTGAGAATGGTCAGGGTAAAGTTTGTGTTGCTTGTTCTTATTCTTGATTTTACTGAAGGTAAGAAGATACAAGTCTGCCAAAACTGTTTAAAAAGAAAATAAATCGTCTTGTGAAAAACTATACATGTACATATTGTCGGCGGTGACCGTATGTGCCTTCCCTCACTGCACATAGTTATTGAATGTAATTGGTATGTAAATCACACAGAGTTATTTTGCTAGATAGACATATTTTATCAAGCACGGTAGCAACTGCAATAAAATACAAGTTCCACTTCGAAGAGGGAGAATAAGTTTGATTTAAATTCTCTAAGAATAAAACTCTCTCTCTCTCTCTCTCTCTCTCTCTCTCTCTCTCTCTCGCAAAATATCCTTAACTAATATTTTTGGCAGCAAAATATGCTAATGCTTGTAGCATATACTGTAGCCGACATGTGCCAATACGTACATGTAAGGTACACTTTGTCGCTCCTACTGCAAAGAGAAAAAATACTCATCTCAGTACATATAGTGTCGCCGTTGTCAACATATACAGATGGATGACATTTTGTGCAGTTACAGTAGATGCATATTGTCACCGGCGATAAACTTATATTAATAAGATTTTACAAGCATTACAAGTTTCTGTTATCGTCCTATTTTTATACAGCCCCCCCCCCCAAACCGGAAATGCTGAATCTGCTCCTGTCATAAATAAGACACATGAACTTCGATTTGAATTTTAAAATGCCAGGTCAGAAGAATAAATAATTACTTTTTAAGTATATCTGCATTGCTTGGTGTACTTTCAGTGAAGTTAATTGTACTTAGTGTTATATCAGGCGTAAAACTAGATGCTGTCATAAGACAGTTATACCTGCGCAGAGGTGTTGCCTCTAAATGTATTCTCCTTCATATTTGAGTAACCAGGGTAAAATACTTAGATGAGTCTTTGGCCCATTGTCCTCTTATACATGTATCAGTACTTTATATAATAAATTAAATGCACAATTTAATGAAGCGAATTCTGTAAAAAAAAAAAAAAAAAAAAAAAAAAAAAAAAGGGGGGGGGAGTTTTTTCGCAAGAAGGTTTTTGTGTTTTAAAAACAATAGGGGGATTGTTGGCCCATATCTGGAACTTGTTGAATGTTTGTCATCAAAGTGGATAAAAGTGCATAGCGATATTAATCTCGTTAAAAATTTTTGCCAAAATACAACTTCGAAAATGATATCAGAATTAAATTCTGGCCATTAATGTAAAAAAAAAATATTGTGAATTTTAACCCCACTTCCCAATTGTCAGCAATGCTTCTTTCAAAGTATGAATGGGATACTGCACAAAATGTAAGAGGACCTAAGAAAATTAGTTTGTTGTTTTAAAGAAAACTAGAACTGTCATTTTTTTTACCCCATTTGCCCCCCCCCCCCCGATGAAAAAACACCTCAATGCACATCTATAGGACACCAGCAATCATTTTTCAAAAGACAATTTAGCTACTGCAAAATATATAAGAGGAGATCAGGGAACCGGCTTTTTGTAGAGAAAAAAATTTCTACCTCGAATTGCCGGTCCCAAGGTTGAAAAAAATTCTAATCCAAAACCTTTGGAACATTAGACAGGACAATATAAGGAATCACTGTCTAGTTAGTAGAGTATGCCAGGGACATCAACAATAGTTGGAAACGTGGGATAATTTATGCATAACGGACTTTGCCGGTATATATATACGTAAGCAGATCAAATGTACGTGTATGTTAGTATTACAAAAGATGTTATTTCGGAAATTTGTACATTCAATATGTCAATTATACCAGAACTTTCAAAAACAAAGTTCGGGTATACATATATTGTTATCTTGATCGATCCCTTTGTCCGTCTGTCACACTTTCTTCTTCTTCAAACTCTTCTTACATTTTAAGCAGAAACCAAACCATTTTTTGAAAGATGATTGGTAGTGTCATATCATGTAGACGTTCAACAAGATTAAAGAGTTTTCATTCTCATCCTGGGAGCCATTTGAGGTCCAAAAACAACGTTTTCTACAAAGCCTGGTTCCTAGAACTTTTCTTATATCTTACGAAATAGGCAAATCATCTTTTGGAAGATATTTTTAGTTGATGATATGTTTCAGATGTACAATAATGCACATTTTCGTTTTCCCCATGGGGAAATTGGGTGTTGAAAAACTTTTTTTTTTAAATAAACTCATTCCCACAATTCCTCTCACATCTACTCAGTAGCCAAATCGTATTTTAGAAGATGATTGGTGAAGCCTTGTAAATATGCAATGAGGGTTTTCATTTTTTGTGGGGGGGGGGGGGCAATTAAGGGTCAAAATAGGCGTTTATAACAAAATTCTGCTTCCCAGAACTCTTCTTACATTTTTTGCAGTAGCCAAATCATCTTTTGAAATATGGTTGATGGTATCCTGTTTATGTGCAAAAGGTTTCACAATTTATATTTATTTTCTGGCTCGTGGAACATGAAACACCTTGGATTTAAGACTACTTTTCAATCGCTGTAAGATGTTAAATTTGCAGATAACAGGAATTGTACTGAAAAAAAAAAGTTGGATTGTTTGATTTTTACAACAATTAAGTATAACTGAAATATTTTGACTCAAGCTATTGACGATGGGGATGACCCCATTGGAGCTTGCCCAAAATAATACTCAATGCATCTTGACATGTGCAGCAAGAAAGCATAAGGTTTATGGGTGGGGATCTCAACTATTAAGAGATATTTGATCAATTATAAAATGACGGAGTAGGGCTCACCCATTGGCACTTGTCCAACACAATACTTAATGGATCAAGGAATGACCCCTGGGTACTTGTCAAATCTACGCCTTAATGCACCTTGACATGAGCACTGCATCAAACCTCAGACATAAACATAGGCAGTGTCTGATCCTTCGTCAACACGGCACAACGGGTCTTTCGGATGAGACCTTAAAACCCGAGGTACCGTGTTCCTGTACGTTTTGGCATAATAAAGAACCATCACTGCTCAAAGGCCCTGAATTCCGAGTATGTCTGCATTTGAAGCCGTTCACCGTATATGGTGACGTCTCTATATTAAAAGAAATTCTCGAATGGGACGTAAAACAACACAAATCAATCATTCTTTAAGAATTGCCTGTTATTACTTTGCTCTCTGTCTTTTCATGAGTAAACATGAAAACTTTTGAAGAATTAAGGCATTTTCTTTGTCTGACGAAAGGCAGTTCCTCACAGGAAACAATTTCTTTAAATTAGAAATTACATTTCATCAATTTCATCAATCTGGCAAAATTTTTGTAAAAAAAGAATGTACCCCTGTTATACTTGAAGTGTAATCATTTTCATTTTTAAAATTATTAATGTAAAAAGTTTTATGCACTAGAGATTCTTCCTTAACTTTTGGATGCGTAGTTTAATTAAACTGATCTTAGAGGTTCATCACCATGGATACAAACCTTTAGATTTGGATTTTATGCTAGTGAACACTGTAGGATTTTTAAAATGCTAGATATTAGAACACTATTGCCGGTCAGTTTGAAGCCGATATCTGAGTTCCATAAAGTGAAGTGTAAAGTATCCTTAAGTTTCTTTAAATTAACCCTATTGTCTTTGTGATATATATTTTAAAAGAGATAAGATACAATATATGATTATAGAATCTGCATAGGTGGCATCAGTGACATAATTTGAAGGGTGGAGATAATTAACATAGTATAATATGTTTAACAGGTATAGCACATTCCCTTAAATTGCTAAAACTATACACATAGCTTGAATTAACTTTAAGGCTTTTACAGGGCATTCAAAATGCATCGACCAATCTACTTGAGTGCAGTTTTCACAATCATGCTTTATAATGAAATCACAAAGAGTCGTACGTACGTGCCCTCTAATATTTGTACAATATGGACTATTAAAAAAACATGGCCGTAGGAACCGGGGGGGGGGGGGGGCACGCCCCCCCCCCCCCAATAATTTTGCCGATATATAGAATATTAAAGAAAACGTAGTTACTATATGCTTGTGCCCCCTCAATAATAACGTATAATGACCTTTTTTTTCATTTTTTTTTTTGCTTGTCAAGGAATTTTGGTAGTGGATGGTGCCCCCCCCCCCCCAACTGAAAATATACGGTTGTGCCCCCTCAAAGTGAAATTGCTTCCTACGGGCCTGTAAAAATCAAGTCAGAGATTAAAAAGTGCTGTTTTTAAAAATTTCTAAAAAATATTTACATTGTTTGGGTAACAGTACACCACCTTGTGCGCTGTTGGGTATGGATAAGTATGATTACTTCACATTGTGCTGAATTATTATTAATAATTAACAATTAATCATCTAGAGTTGGCCTTCCTTCTAATTTAAATCAAGAAATATATAGTCCCAAGAACTTTGATCGCAAATGCTCAGAAGGAAACACATTTTGAAAAGCGATTTTTTTCATACAGATTTTCAAAACTAAATTGCGACTTTTAATACTTTATATTGCTCATGTAAGAAAAATTATAATTAAATAGTTAAATCAAGCTGTCTCAATAAGTTATATCAAGCTATGTAGCTAATTCACTTCCTGTTCATCACTCTTCATCATTCTTAAAAGATTTATGCAGCCATTCCTTTAAGGTATGAAGTGGTTATCGCTCACCACTTACAACACTACATTCTTCATATAATTATTAGCCCAAACCCTTTAATATGCTAGCACTCAAGTTTTATATTTTACTGATGTCTTTTGTGTCAGCTTCATTTGAAAAAGAAATCCTGATATTCCTTTGGCCGATCGCCAGTGTCTTTCGGGTTGATAATCACTTGTAAACTTACTGTTGTAATGAGTATTGATGGTCAGATTCGATGGCTCTTCCGCGTCGCTTATCGATAGTAACACACTTTTTTTAAGTTGTGCAAACGATTATAGCCCAGTATTTTAACTAAGAACAAGAGTCTTTATGTTATTCATGCATGTAAAGTGCAATATAATTTTCAAGATGTTAGGAACATATAATTACAATTTATACTGTCCCTGCACTTGCAAATGGTCTTGTTAAAAATTCAATTTAATTATATTTGTTCCATAATCATCGAAATATCGATAGCAAATATAAAAATTTCTTTATACTTTTTTCCTTCAATGCAACGTTTTCTTCTCACTGAAAAGATCTGCAACTTAAAGTATATTAAATTAAGATACAATGACGCAAATAAAAATAAAGATAGTTCTGTGTTGGAAGTCAACTTACAATGTATAAACTACCACTTACTGCGAATTAATTATACTTTCAATGAACAGCGTTTACAAAACTAGAATGGACATGTTAAGATGTTCATTGCTTGTTCTTACATGTATATCTGGTATTACACTTGGTAAGTAGGTATACTTAAAATTCGAAATGTTAAAAAAAATATTTTTCTAGGATTTTTCCCAGTTTTAAAATAATCTCTTAGAGAAAAAAAATTACAATTAACCATCGGTTAAATTCAATCAAATTTAAGTTATTATCTTCAGCGCAGTTACATATTTCCTAGCAATTTTTATAAATAAACTTGTATGGATCAATATTGATGCACATTGAACGAAATGTGCACCATACTAGAGAATCATAGTTAAACGTAGAAATCATTGGATTTTACTTGCATAAATTTAGTCAAACTTGTCTGCACAAAACAGATTGAATGATTGATTTTTTTTTTCAAATTTCGAACCTTTTAGTCAATAGATTGCATCGTTTTAAAAAATGTTCGTACGTAGAACATGCTTTTGCGTATCTAATCAGCTGGGAGGTATAAACTCCATATGCAAGGGATAACAGTACATTGCTAAATAAGTAATGGAAGTTGACGATAGAGAAAAAAATTTATCACGCTCATCAAAAAGCCTAGTTGTTAGTGTTTCTCTCTTGAAACATCCAAATATGACACACTGATGTGGGGATCAATGGAATATATTGAATCAATGTGGGAATGAAAATAAATATTTATCGGAATACTTGTTTGTAGGATAAGAATGGTTTTTACCAAAATAAGTTGCAGATGACTAATTATAAGATAACGGGATTTATTTTTTTTTTGAAGAAGAAGAAGAAGAAGAAGAAGAACAATTGCAAATGATGTCAAAAAGTCAGGTCTTTAATTTATAATGGGGAATAGTTGTAAAAAGTGTTGAAAAGTCGTACGTTTTGATACTACTGATTTGGGTAAAATTTAAGCTTTCAAATTTTTTCTAAAAGTTTTTTGGAGTTTTAAAGTATCTACATCAGATTTACAACACTTCTCAAATACGTTGTCGTGAAGTACTTCAAAATTTCTCCACTAATGTTTTCGTGAGGAGTTCGAAGTGCATTTACAAGAACCTACTGTGTATCTTTCTTTGAAAGAATTTTATGAAGTTTGGTTTTTAAGTAATTTGGAATATTTGGTAGTTTGGACTGACATTATGATTTTGAAGAATTTCCTCCTTAGAATGGGAACTATGAATATAAATTGGATTACCAATTGTGGAATTTAATGCAAGCTCCTCTAAAATACAAATTAATAATGAACCTTACAAACGAAGTCAATTGTCAGCTGCAACCAGTACATATTGATCGTGTATTCTATCTATTTCTTATTTCACATCCTAATTGTTGAATTGAAAATCCGCATTGATATAGAATATTTAATATAAGTGCTTCAGGACTATTTCCTGTCGGGATTGACAACTTTTTAAGGAAGTTTCCTCATACAGATCCATCTATCATACAATTATTCACTGTTCAAGTCGTACAGGAAATCTGTATAGCACATGGGACAAAAGAAACATTTAATCTTGTAAAGGGCACTCCTTTAATATTAGCGGTAAACAAAATCTTTCGTAAAAATAATCATGGGATATAGGTCCTTGCCCGTTTTCCCTAAGAAAAATATGTAAATAATAATACCTTATTCTATGTCACACCCTGTATCAGCCCGAGGAACCAATATCAGCCAGAGGGCCGGAAGCCTAAAAACTATAATAAATATGCAGAATCTGACACATCTGTTTCATATTAAGATATTTTACTGGAAAAGAAAGTGAATATTCGATTGGTCTCTCGCTATATCTGAGGGCCCCTATGTAAATCCGCTCACTTAGTCACTGTTCAGTGTATTCAATCGTCACTGGTGTACACGGAAGTATGCTTTACAGCACTCGGTAGAGACAAAAAAAAAATAACTGTGTACTTCGTCTAATACAGAAGAGTAAGATACCAAAGAAAGTTACAACAGTTGCACAGGTCAGTGCAGTATACAAACAAACACAAATACACGTAACTGCAATAAAATGTAGACAAAGGTAATGCAAGATAACCAGCACGAACACGGGTCGCCATTCCTACCCCGGTGCTGATATCGTAGAGTAGTATTATCGAAGATGGCGTATGCCTATTAACGATAAGTGTTCAGCTTTAAGGACTAGATAAGAGTCGAGCTCAGTCCTCCACACACACACACACACACACCCTCACACACACCCTCACACACACACACACACTTTATTTATTTTATATATATTTATGTAACATTTTATGTATGATAAAATTATAAAATGACAAAATGATTTTTCGAGACACATATACATTGATTTCAATTTGACAACAGACCTGTAACATTCATTGAAATTCAAAAAGGGGAGAAAGAATACAGAAGAACATTTGTATTGTTTTGTATACAACTGGATTTCCTGCCAGTCTCATAGAAATCGTCCTATATCTGCGCCGAATACACTTTGCATAAGCTGAGTTATGTCGATTATCTTATGCAGAGTATATAAGGTACCAATCTAAATAGCGTTTTTTTTTTAAAATTTAATTGGATTTCTTACTTCAGCATCCAACCCGGATGGGACTTGTGACAGTGACAGTGATTGTACAGACCCAAACTACAAATGTTGTACCGGAACGGTGTGGTGCTGCCCTCCTGGTTATATGTGTACCGGAGGCTCTTCTTGTCTCAGTATAGGGTAGGGATCGGCCTCTATTTGCGGAAATGAATTCTATATCAATTTTTTGAACAGAAAATTTGTATTTGACCAAAAAATTTTCTTACTTAAAATTTTATTGAAATTTGTTGTACCTAAACATTTGTTATATATATATATATATATATATATATATATATATATATATATATATATATATATATATATATATATATATATATATATATATATATATATATATATATATCTGACAAAAGGAGGGCTAAGATTAGGGAGTGTAAAGAGAAAAAAACTGTTGTGTTATTCTCGGATATGAGACTGGTCTCTCTCTCTCTCTCTCTTTTTTTTTTAATCAAATTTAACCTGAAGAGTTGAAAAAGTATTGTTTGTTCTGTTAGCAATTACAAAGAGCACTTCATTTGAATACAGATTAAAAAAAAAGATATTTTTTTCTTTTAAAATTTTCACTACAACACTGTTATTATCATAAAAGAGTGTATATATCTAATTTACATGCACTGTTCAATTATATCTATAGTATCTCGTAAAATGTATTTTAGGATATTAGACTCGATACCAGAAGAAAGGTGTTACTTTGAAGGAAAAAAAGTCTTGATATATATTTGTGAAATCTGCTTATTTTGTATAAAATGTGATGATTTGTGTGCGAAAAAAAGGTAATGTAATCTTTACAAAGTCTGGAGGATGTCATATTCCTCATGACTCATCACGTCTATGAAGAAAAATGTTAATGACATTAAAAAGCCTTGGTAGGCTTATTTGATTCCTTTTAAGATGTTGCTATTCCCAACGCTGCATCTGATATTGATGGAGAAACCCGAGATTATGTCTATCAGATGTTGACAATAATATGAAAAATGACTTTTTTACGAGCTATGGTTGTTAGCTCTTTCCTCAATCCCCTGGACCGGAGAGTCAGTGATTTTCCCGTCTTTGTGACCATCCTGTAGGTACGGTTTCCAGCTATTTTAAGGCGCCGAATACTTGCCCCTTGCAATTGCTACTAAAGCATTTCCAGGAGATGTGCCTTTGACTAATTTTGAGACGGTTGGCAATAACTCAAGGTTTAAAATGATACTATCTAGTGGCATAAGTATCTCTCCTTAAGAACCAAACCAGAATTTTATCCCACAAAAAATCTGTTGTTTTTTTTTTTTTTTTAATTTTGTACAAATACAACGAAAAATATTTTCAAATTGATAAAATTATCATTTTCTTTCGTTTTTATTTCAGCTTGATCATCGGTCCTATCGTCGTTGTAATTGCCATTATTGCGTGTGTCGTCGTCGCTATCTTTTGTTACAGTAAGTATTTGTTGACTTGGTAATTTCAGTATCATGATTCATGTAATATCATTTGATAAGCATTTAAAATCAATCAATTAGAACTGAGATGGTTTCACTTTAGGACAACGAAGTTTTATTCGTTGAATATTTGTGCACCTGAACGAAAGATTGAAGCCAATTTCTAAAAAGTGTCTGATCTTTCTTTTCCCTGATGTCTTCAGAAAGGATGATTGCATTTAACGCCAGGATTGGGGCTTTTTCGAACGCCATTGTTGTTTTTATATCTTAACCTTATTTTACTTCTGTTTATTCCTGAAAGAATCTTGCCGATTTGAAACCAAATTTGAACATTAAAATGAGTTTAGACTGTGGTAAAAATAATTTGAAGTTCTTTTTCTCCTTACTGCTTTCTAAGTAGGGATAATTTACACTTACCTCCTTTGTTTATATGCAGCAATACTAATGATGTAGACATTTCTTTTTTTTTTATTTTTGACAAATGACCTTGAATTAAACATAATCTTTTAAAGAATCAAAAGGTCAAGACAACGATCGGTGCTAACAACAAAGTTGCCGCCATTTTAAAATTCCTTTTGTCTATTTGTTTTGGTAAAGGTTACATACGATGCTCGAAGGTTGACAGAGAAAGAACCCCACTGTATTTAGATTGTAATGAATGGTCTGATTTCAAAAAAAAAAATTATATTCAAAATTGTAATGTTTTTCATTCATTTTATATTGTCATATATTGTCAAAAAGCAGTGGTAGAGCTTACTACAGTATTAGTCCAATATTTAAGATTCAAATAGTAAAAATTCCGTAATCTTTATCTCTGGATTTTGATAAGGGTTTCATTACAGTCATATTTATTTGTCAGAAAGAGCAATGAATATTCATGTAGATAAAATGAATATTATTTTCCATGAGCCTATAAATTTCATAACTAGGTCTGGCGGTTTGGTTTTACTTCATATTTTATTGTATATATGAACGTGTGATGCTGATCAAGGTAATTAATTAATACCTACCGGCACTGCACAAGATATCACTTGAATTCCTCTAGATCTGAAAAAATAGGTTCTGAGAGCGCAAACTGAAATCATGATGCACGTCTCATAGTCATCTCTTTTTCAAATTAATGATGTTCTTAATTATAATTCTCTTAGGAAAGAGACAGCACACAGCAGGTGTTGTGTACAATCCTCATGGAGTAACACCTAAATTTTAACTTGCTCAACATGGTCAGGAACAATTCTCCAGGATACAAGGTTACAGAAAACCACAGAATGAAGATCAACTAAACCCAAGAGCATGCGAATAGAGATAGAGAGAGAGAGAGAGTAATCGTTTAAGCTTGTACATTTATCTTTTGTTACTGCAATTTTTGCATTTAATTTTTGTATCATCACTATCACTCCCTGTAAGTATTTAGAGCTTGTTTTTAAAGGGGCCTGGACACAATTGCATAGTTTACAATTTAAATGTCTATTTTTATTAAAAAAAAAAAAGTAACTTCAGTTTAATGATTTGAACGTACATGAATATATTCTAAGAATCCAATGACAGAGACATTCTTCATAACATCACGTTAACACCTGTGATTGTAAACAGGGCACAAGCTCTTTTATTGATAGTGTTAACGTTTTACCGGATGTGTTCAATTTGTTAAGTCTGCACAAATTACTGAGCACAGACTGATACACATGAGTTGGTTTTGCTTTCTTGCATTTCTACTCTGAACTTTCTGGATTATAGTTTCCATATTTTTCATTAATACACAACAAAATTTCTATTTTTCTTAAGTATTAAGGATGAAGTTTACTTTGTGAAAGTGCAAGGATATGCATCAATAAAACGCGTCCCGAAAATTGTAGTTTTAATAATTTTAAGAAAAAATAAATTTCTTAACACGCTTTTAATATATATCGGTGTGAAATGCTCTAGCAACGTATTAGTAATGATATTATAAAGAAAATTTTAGAAAATATGAGCTTCAAATCTGAGTCCCAGCTCTTTTAAAAGCTTACACTACATGGATACTTTTAAACATTACATGTTCATATTTAATACCTGTACTGCATGACTGTTTATCCACTGTAAAAAGAAGATCTATAATAACAATAATTATTGTACTATAACCAAGCGGAGTAAGAATGCAGGTTTTATTAATTTATTAGGTAAATGAAAAAAGCAATGGCAGATCTGAAATATATTCAAATACAAACAAATATTACAATATCATATTTCTTATAAACTTTGAAAATAATATAGATATATTCTTTCTGAAGCAAATATATTTTAATTCACATCAAAAATAAGAAAAAATTAACTTTACTCAGTACAAAAGTAGAATATTAATAGTTTAAAAACGTTCTTATCAGAAATATCAAGAAAAATTATAATTAAGCTTATTTTTAGATTTCAAATAAATTACAAAAACTAATAGACAAAAAAAATAACCTTTCAAGTTGTGACAACGGGCATCTGGTAAATTGTGAGGAGTTAAGTTTCCAACATGGATAGGAATGGGCCCATGCCACAGTATTTATAGAAGGAAAACCGGTTAAACAAGATTTACATTGGGGCACAGACATGCTGGCCAATGAACTTTTCATGAGTAGAATTCATGAATCAAAGCCAAAACCATGAATGGACTACTAGCAAATATGGCATATAGTAAATAATGATTCAGCTGCTTCTTAAGAAAAAAAGTAGAGAAAAAATATTTTTAATAAATATCAATCTGCCACACACTCCCCAACTTAAAATTTAGCGTATTGATAAATAGAGAATATATTTAACCATTTCATAAGATTCAAAAATAGCCATATACTCTCCAGAAAAAATACATATATACAATAATAATAACAAAAAGTTTTACACAAGTAATATTGTCATCTAGAAAACACATTTGGTGACATCACGGCGGGTTAAGGTTTTCTGGCAGCCATTGTCCGATACAACACTTGGGAGATTTCCTGAAATGTTCACAACACGATATACAGTTGAGCCCCATGAATCCTGGATTTTTTCTGTCGCGGATTTGACGGTTTCGAACATACACTTTGTCATCAATATTTAAATCCGGTTTAAATGCTGTACTGTGACAGTCGTTGTTGGACTTTCTGCTATCGTGGAAGTATGGTCACTGGCTTTATCGAACGCAAACTTTAGTCGGTCTGATCCATTCATCATTAGACATCTGATCGTCTTAATGACTGTCTAAAGACCCAGGTAAGAAATCAATGGGTATTATCGAATGACGTCCAAACATAAAATAAAATGGGCTGTATCCGGTTATTGTATTCTGTGTTGCGTTGTACAAAAAAAAGTAATTTTGGAAATTGTTTCTTTCCAAAATTGACACTATGGTGTCGCTTAAGTTCTGGTGTAAGAGTCTTAAATAAGTTGTGCAGAGTTCTATTATATCTTTCACATTGAGCGTTTCCCTCTGGGTGATAAGGAGTGGTTCGAGATCGCGTAATTCCATACATCTTATAGGCCTTTCAACTGCCGCTAGGGTTCGATGAAAAGAACGATAACCCATTACCGGAACTTGTTTACAGCGGGTTCGAGGAAGCTAATTGTTTTTAAGGATGTCAAGTTTTAGCATTTCCCAAGTATTCCTTCACTGTCAGGGAAATTCAGTGGTTTTAAAATTTAGCTCAAATGTTCAACTTAATTATCATGTAGTTATAGACCCCGTACAATAAAATATAAGTGAAATTTTTAATAAAAATATAAAGTGAAATCCATCCCCCTTCTTAATTTTGACCTGATTAAATTTTTATACTTGATCTTTCTTCTTCGTGCTTAGTGAAAAGAATAAGATAATTTATTGTTGCATTTAATTGTAGAAATATTTATCTTTATAGATGAAGCACAACAATGTACAAACAAAAAACATGGCATTATATTTTCTTCTTCATAACAACTGTTAGGGAGAGTTAAAAATCTTGAATATAGTCCATTTCCAATTCATTGATCCCGTTATTCCAGGTATAGAGTGAAGACTTTCTCCTTGTTTTGGTCAACCCTTTTGTGTACCAAAGAATATAAGGAACCCTTTTGTGTACATAACAATACCAATTGAAGCAGCCTATATGTCATTCCTATAAACGGTAATTCAAAAATCGGCACCTTCTTGGTCGTTTTTCGCACTTGAGTTACCTGTCCTCAAAACACCACATCGTACAAATCAAATATTGATAATTATTTTTTTATGATTTAATTAAAGGTATGTATAGGTTATAATCTTTTTTGAGAATTTCACGTACCTACAAATATATCTATCAATTGTTTATTACCATATGTATAACTTGAAAAATTAGTTGAAAGGCCTACATCTTACACAGTTGAGCAATGGCGTTTGCTTCAATATTTCGGCCTTGATCGTAAAGGAGACGATCTGGTACACCATACTTGTAGAACTATTCATTTAGAAGAACGTTCGCAACAGTATCCGCTTTCTGGTCCTTCGTCGCAACGGCTTGAGTAAAATGCTCTGGTTCCAAAACGGTAAAGTCGATCGCGAGACTTTACATGGTCTACATGCGATGAGATAATTCATTGTAGTGCGTACAACTGGTTGAGACATCTAAGAAATTACACAACGTTCACAACGCTTACAATAATCCTTCACAGAATTGAATATTCCAGGCAAATAAGATCTTGAACGGACAACAGAAAATGTTCCTTGATGACCCAAGTTGTCATGACAACTGAAAAACACTTTTTTATGCAAAGATCTGGGTAGAATAAGTTGCTTTAACGAGGTTCGCTCCTGAGCTTTTGATCAGATTTATATCTTAACCTATATTTTAAAAATTCTGCATAAAGTTTTAATTCTTACAATAAATTTGGATTCTACAATGCCAATTAAACTATATTTAGTTAAAACTCCATGATTAAATTCCATACCAAAAGCAATAAGTCAGGAACTATATTTTGTGGCGGAAGGTTTTTTAGAAGAAAATGATCATTTTTTCTCTTTCGAAGTGTTTAAAGTATGTTAAGTTTGGGTTCCTATTTTTCCATGCAGCCTGCACACAAAGTTATTTTGTACAGTGAACTGTTTTATACTGGTCCTAAATTGTATATCAAATAAACTGTCATAGATTCTATCATCATATTTCATAAATATAGCAAATATATTGTGAAAATCAAGAAAAAAATATCCCTATTTTAAGCTTAAAATTAGCACTATTTTAGTAATATCTAAAAATTTACATCACAGACCCCCACTTTTTATTTTATTTTCTGAATATATAAGATACTTTTAACCATTCTTCTTAAATTCAGTAAAATGTCATTACTTTCAAATTATTTTTTTGCTTGTTAAATGTTTAATGCCAGAAAAATGAAATTTTTTGGGTGCAAAAAGGTCAAATAATTGAACATGCGGAGTAATTTGAAATTTTTTTTGTTGTGACAAATTTTAATGTGTCTATTCGAGAAGAAATAAGGCTGTGTTTGTTCCCATAATTTATTTGAATAAAAAATATTGGAGGAAAAACTTTAAAAATTGATTATGTGTAAGACGTATTTACAGTGCAAAAAGGTCAAACTAAATGCTCTGTACCGCCAAAAGAAGCGCATTGACCCCCAGGTTTTGTTTTGATTTTTAATTAAGCTATGTGTATAAATTCTTAAAATATACTTGATAAAAAATTCTCATTACTTTTGGTGGCAGGATCCAACCTCCTTAAGTCCCATGATATAGGAACTGCGATCACTCTCTTAAAAATTTCTTTAATAATCACAATTTTATTCCACTCTCTAACTAATGTAATCACATCTCTTTGTAACTTTCTGATTTCAAATTTTGTTGGTTTATATCCTTCATAGAAAATCTTCAGAAATTTTGCTGTTTGAATCAGCTGATTGAAGAGACTGTATTTCGTCGAGCCTAAGAGACAGATAAGTGTCGTAAACTTCATTTACAATTACACTCGATGCACTTTGTTTCTGTAGATCCGAAGGCAGTTTTGTAGAATCGGAGAACTTCTCTAGTAGAATCTCTAAATCACTATGCCGCATTTTATCATCAGGATCACTGAGACATGAAAGATCATCCGCATTTTCGCCATGGCGGCCCGGTCGGAACTTCACGTCAAAGTTAAACATCACTAATTAATTGCACTGAGTTTTGATATTTTAAGATGACACAACGGGTTGGTATCATTGAACACTGTGAATTTCGATCCTATTTGGAAGTTCTTGGACTTCTCTGTTATGGCCTAGTTTACATGTAACGGTAGTATTTTCGAGAACTATAGTTTTGCATGTTCCTTTCACTTGGCTTTAAAAATCTGCTAGCGTAGGCGATGAC